TTGATACACGAACGCGACGAAGATGGAACGAGACCTAATGCGATCTTTCGGTGTCTGAGATGCAGTCAGGTAAATCGAGAGCGGATCTCGAGACGTTTCATTTTGCCTCGGATGTTAGGGAGATCGACGAGTTTCTTCGAATCGTACGATCTGGGGCAGATTTTTTTTCGCCTGGGAACGAAGATTTCATCGGTGGGAAAGTTTGCTGGAGTTGGATAGTAATTTTGATATAACTTCATTAACAGCAACGTGAGGAGAATGTGCTACATTAAGTACTTGTTAATTAAATTAACAAGATGATACTAGAAAAAAAATCAAAGGGTTCAAGATTTCTATTGGAACCCAGAAATCTTTTGAACCTCCTCGAACAACTAAATAAATGAACAAAATTGCCCAGAACTGAGCATATGAATTGATTCCTGTGTTCGAACACCGTTCCAGCTGCAATGGATGAAAAATTCTAGAAATCGTGTCGTTGCGTCTTCTCTTTGTCCCGCATCTGCATACGCCGAGACCTAGGTGCTATTATAAATGGGGCTGGGGGTGCACAATGCCGTTGCCCATGCAATTTCCAGCTATTGAAGCCCGTTTAACGTTTGCACGAGTGACACGGTAACCGTCTATCCATCACCCACCCACGTTTCCACACGACCGTGCCCGCACACGAGGGCAACAGAATTCATTCTGCGAGCAGCTGGACCTTCGACGCATCGATGCTTTTCTACCTTTTTTCCCGAATCGAGGGAAAACGACGACCTGACCTTCGAGACCAGCTATGATCTGGGGAAACCTCGGCCACGTCACGTATGTCAGGTGATAAAACGGACAATGAGACACCTGAGCTGGACGTTTCGACCGCTGGACCTCTTTGAGGGATCAGAGATGTTGGGGACACTTGATAAACAGAGTTGATAATAATAAATAATAAATTGATTTATCAATAAAGAAGGATAGTAGGGTGGAATAAGACTCCATTGTGACAGCTTAAATTTGTTAATTGTTTAAATGAAATATTTGGAATAGCTTGAATTGAATAGGGTGAGGGTAATAACATAAGGTGTCACGATCGAAAAATTTGTCTTCCTCAAATTCTAATAATGAACCCGATAACACAGGAGCCTATTCGTTGGAATATTTCTATCTAATTCAATACATCGTGTGAATAGGTGGCAGCTTTCTCCACCCGCGACGTAACAATCGCCACCGAAGAAGTTCCATTTTCTGGATGAATTCTGGCATGCAACAAAGCTTCCCACCCTCTCTCTCTTACCCACCCTTATTCACCTTCTTTCTTGCGACAGCCTTGCACGTTCTTTCGCATGGGATCGGTCGATGTTTTTGTTCGTTCAGGCGAGAATAGCGTCGAAGGACACGTTGCCCTTTTCTCGTGATCTACATAAAATATCGATTCTTTCTGCGTTCACGAGAAATAACGACGAGTCACGAATAACCGTGCACGAACCTTGTCGTCGTTTCTCGCTACATTTCTCTGGTATTCGTAAAACCGCCTCTTCTCGGCTTAACGTACGGCACTACAAAGGAGAAATCGTTATTTTCACGGCTACGCCTGATTTCGCGGTTGCATCCCTCGTTTCTCGACACCCCCTTCCCCTCAACGCCGCCCTCGAATTGGCCCTCTTTCCTCTCCTTTTGCTTCATTTATTCGCCTCCGTTTCTTTCGAGCTCGACCGCCACTTTTTTGCGATCGATCTCCTCTCATAATTTGCAACAGAGGCAACGGATACAAAGTAACCTCTCGGAATTAGGATGTGGTCGAACACAGGTGGTGGAACCATCGATAAACGATCGATTGAAAAACTTTTTGCTAATTCTGGTTCATGTAAATACAGCTATCCTCTGTAACTTGATGTATCCGGAGTTTCAAACGAACGTGGTTCCCAAATTGCAGATGTTTAAGTAGTGATGGCATAAACTCTGCAAGATATGTATATGAAGCTCTGCACATGTCCATACTACATGTCACATGTCCATACTACACATGCGAAATGTCATAAATAACATAATTTGTGTATACAGTACAGACTTCGATGTATTATAAAAGCAGATTCCTATTTTCTGATTGCACATGAAAATTTCTCCTCGAACACAGACTCCAGTAACCATCGAATCCCGAATGTTCCTCGCGAACGTTAAAAAACGAACCGTTGCTCCGATCGTTTTCTTCCACCACTCAGACAAGGTCTGTCCCATTTAGAGGCTCGTCCGTTGCACTTTTTTCAAACCTGTACCCACAGAATCCGTGAAAGAACGCGCCAATCGATGCAGGGGAAGAAAATGGAAAAAGTTGTCGGTTACCTTATCTAAGGTCAAAATGGTACGTTAGAGTTTCGCAGCTGGCAAGGCCGATAAACGTTACTTTTTACTTCGAACGTGAAAAAGAGAAGGACGCGAAAAGGGTGGAAAACTTTGTCTTCCGAAAAAATCCTTTCACCCTGTCTACCGTTGGAAACCGCGTAGCTTCTCACGCAAAGGGGGAAAAAAAGCGTAATTTTCGGTGAAAAGAGGGGAATCGACGATGCAAATTCAGGGTCGACGAGGGAAACCGTGAATGGCGTGTACCTGCTTTTTGCGTGGTGTTCGCGCGATTCGAGGGGTAGAAAGAGGGTGCGTAACCCGCGAGAAGGAAACGAGGACGAGTAACCGAAATTTCATACGGAATCCACCAATACGGAGGCTCTCTCGTTGTCTGAAGCGTCCTACCTGACCTGTCGCCTCTCTTCTTTCGACGTTTTTTTCCACCGTTTTAGGGGAATCAGGTATGGGGAGACACAGATGCGGAGGAGCGAAAATCGGGCCGAGCTGGGAGCGAGAAACTTTCCGGCGAATTCACAGGATTTTGAAATTTTTTCCCCCTTAACCGTCTTCACGGAGCGCAGCATCCCCCACCTGCGACTGCACCTTTTTACGAGCGTTTCGCGAGCGTTTATCTCTATTCTCTGCTATTGACTAGACTCGATGGGAAAGTTCGTGCCGAGGTCCAAGTGGCTAAACGACTTTCTTTCTTCGTTTCCTCGGTTCACTGACCTCTCTCGTTCACGGAGATCGCGATGGACTTCGGATTCACCCTTGCGACCTGGCGATCGTAAAACAAAACCCTTTTCCGAATCAATATATCTTCTAGTTTCTTCTTTTGCGAGGAGAAAATTTTACTTGTTATACGGGGTGTTACGTTCTTTTTCAAGTAGAACTTATTCAACACTGTATCGCTAAATCCAACTAATACATCAATTTGATATACCAGTTTCAAAATGATTTTCATTTTTAAAATTAAAGGTGTACAGATGTTATGTGTGCATCAAGTATATTCTATTATATACGAGCTTCAAAATGATTTTCATTTTTAAAATTAAAGGTGTACAGATGTTATGCGTACATGAAGTATATTCTATTATATACGAGCTTCAAAAAGATTTTCATTTTTAAAATTAAAGGTGTACAGATGTTATGCGTACATAAAGTATATTCTATTATATACGAGCTTCAAAATTATTTTCATTTTTAAAATTAAAGGTGTACAGATATTATGTGTGCATCAAGTATATTCTATGATATACCAGCTTCAAAATGATTTTCATTTTTAAAATTAAAGGTGTACAGATGTTATGCGTACATCAAGTATATTCTATGATATACGAGCTTCAAAAAGATTTTCATTTTTAAAATTAAAGATGTACAGATGTTATGCGTACATGAAGTATATTCTATTATATACGAGCTTCAAAATTATTTTCATTTTTAAAATTAAAGGTGTACAGAAGTTATGTGTGCATCAAGTATATTCTATGTATCAATGTCACTGAAGGGGGTGAGTTTGAACGAATTAATCAAAGTGTTTCATATAAAAATGATTCAAGCACCAAAATAAGGAAGAAGTTCCTAAACATAGAAGCTTCTTTTAAACTTATCATAGAACCACAGAAAAAGTACGTGCAAGTGAATTATTTTTACAAAGAAGTCAAAAGAAGTCAGAACTGCAAAGAAGTCAAAAGCCATGGTGCAAAAGTCAAACATGAAACCTCGACTAAAAGTTTAATATCTCATTCGCCATGCCGTAAATCACCCCCTGATTCAAGCAAAAAGGGTTTTGCACCGTATCGAAGTAATTATTATTAAAAACCGTTATGGTATGGCAGTGGACCAATGGCGACATGGTAAGCTCGTTTTCTCGAACCGAACGAATCGGTTCCGTGCCATTATTCTGTACCCCTTTTTCGGGGGGCGCGTTAAAGCAGCGAAAGAAGAAGGAAAGGGTAGGCGAGGGAGGCTAGTCATAAGATACGATGATGGATGCACGAAGGGTTGCGTTTCGCGGGCAGAGGGGCAGGCACGCGGAAAGAAAAGGGCCAAAAAGGGTTCCGTGTTGGCCAATCGTACGCGAACATCGTGTGCCTGCGACCAATCATCGTGGCCCTTTCCGCTTGAGCGATGGTGGGGAGGGTTGGTTCGTCCTTAGGGGCACGATTTCGTTGCGTCATTCTGACACTCATTCCGTATCGGTCCTTCGACGAGGACCACTTCGTGTGACCTTCGAAATTTTTCCAGTGTATTTGCATCTGTTTACGTATCGAAAAGAGTGTCGTAGAAATCGTCGAAAGTGATGAGAGATATAAAAACACGATGAGAGATCGTTAGCGCAGAATTCGTGGCTGAAGATCAGGGTCACTGATCGCCGTGCTGGATCTTGAAAACTACCCCCATGTGAGTAACGGGCCACGGGAATCCTCGAGGGTGAACGAGGTTAAGATGGTCTTCTTGGAAGACCCGAGGATGATTTTTGCGGATATGAGACTTCATGCGACCAGCACGCCGACCTCTACCCTCTCGCGTTATCACCACCAGAAGTATAGGCCTCAGAACAACAATGACTGTACGATCTTGCACCAATATGGAATGCATATTGAATTGAAATCCGTAGACAATGCCACCATTTAGTAAATCTTTTGCAGAACGATAACTAACGAATTTTTATTTCTTTCCAGACGCGGACCTTCATGGCGAGGTTGACGGACCCGAACTCAGCGGCGATGACAGAAGTATCGCCAGCGACATCCAAGATGCGACCGAGGCGAACCTTGACCATGATTCCATGGACTCCGACAGGGAAGCCCTTAATCTGGTTAGTAATCGCAAATTTACTCGCAAACTGTTCTTCGAAAACAACTTCCGACGAGATTTCATTTCCTTCAGCCTCGATTTATTGTTCGAACAATGTAAAAAGTACTTTGGTTCAATATTTGGCAAATAAATAGAGGAAGCGGGAGATGGACAGAAGGGGACTGCAGGGTTGTAGGTTTTATAAAACACAAAAGCACGGGATGGACCGTACTGACCAATATTCTGACCTGACCGAGTGTAAACACCGCTTTGTTCGATGCCGTTTACTGGCTAATATTGGGAGGGTGGCTCGCGCCTTTTTTCCAATTTCTCTTTGGTCCCACGATGTCCAAGTTTCATGCATTCCGAACATTCAGATTTTTTTATTTTTTCAAAGTTTGTGTTATCAAGTTTATTCGTTACTTAAATCACAGTAGTTGCTACAAGCTCCTCAAGTATTGCTTCATCTACTTATTGCTGATTATATTAATATAATATAATATATTCTCTTATTTACAACTTAAATCACAGTAGTACCTAGCTCCTCAAGTATCTCTTCATCTACTCATCTCTGATTATATTAAAATAATATATTCTTTTATTTATAACTTAAGTTTATTTACAACTTAAATCACAGTAGTACCTAGCTCCTCAAGTATCTCTTCATCTACTCATCTCTGATTATATTATTATAATACATTCTCTTATTTACAACTTAAGTTTATTTTCAACTTAAATCACAATAGTACTAGCTCCTCAAGTATCTCTTCATCTACTCATCTCTAAAACATATAAATATATAAATACATTACCTAAAATCAGAATTGATTTTCATCAAGATAAAGGATAAACGTGTGTACTAATTTAAGCTTCATTTTTTGTTTATTTATTTTTCAACTTCATTTTTAATTCCAAATTAAGTACACATTATATGCCGGTAGGTTTAGTGTTAATATAATAAATTCTCTTTGAAATTCACAATATTTTTAGCACTCTTTTGAATAAAAAATAAAATTGTTACAGGTCACGGACGTGTCCCATCGCAACAGTAGCAGCGGTACAAGCGGCAGTGCCTCGTCGCCGAGTTCCGGGGTGAGCAGCCAGATAACCGGAAGCCATCAGCAACAGCAACACACCGGCCAGCAGAACAGCAGCAATTCCCAAGCCGCTCTCGCAGCTCAGTTGGTTGGTCAGCAATTACTGATGCACGGTTCTTTGGGTGCGTTAGGACCACAGGAAATTCAGGCACTCGCATCGACGTTTCAACAACAACAGCAATCGTTGCAGCAACAGTTACAACAGTTAGCGATGTTCCAACAAGCGAACTCCGCTGCGGCGGGCCAACTTCCGGCGCAGGCACAGTTTTTCTTGCAGAATCAGGTGCGTGAAAGTTTTTTACATAAGGAGTCTTTCGTATTTCGTCATTTTTGAGTGGCTTTAAAATTTTAGAACCGAGTAGAGTACTTTGCTGAATTATACTTTTAAATGAAAAATATTAGTATATGATTTCCGTGAAGTTTTAGCTGTAAAATTATTAAGTTAAATGGACAACACGCAAGAAATTAATTTTACGCATTCGTAATGCGCGGAATATGGAGATTAGGCTGTTACGCAAAATGTATAAAATAAGTAAAAGAGAAAATATTGCGTAGAAATAAATATGCAGTTAAACTTCCGCGATATATATACTAATTTCTGTTGTTCGTATCGCGAACATTTGTTTCAATTTCAAAGAAGGCTACAAAGCATAACATCCGAAAGCGAATTTTCCACTCTTTATTATTCCTTCGGTTGCATAACTTCGCGCCTTTCGCTTTACATAAAATACCAGCAGAATCATCCATTGCTCAGCCGTTCATTACGAGATCCGCAAATGTTCCTAATCTGAAAATCAGAGGCTAATACAAGTAATTCTACTGATTATTTACTAAAATCAGATAATACAAATTATTATATTCAGTCAAACTACACTTAATTACGAAAGTAAGTTATATTGCCACTCTACAAACTTTCACACCAGTGAGTTCAACAATGGCCATTAAATTGCTACCCGTTTTATCGCCACTTGCTACAAGTGTTAAATAATTATAATCTTACACGAGTCGAAATTAGCAAAAATCAAGTAACGAGTGAAACGAAGTGAAAATGATCTGTGCTTATCTAACCCACGTGTTTCTCTTTTTCCGTGAAACACAAAAGGTATCGGTCGTTAAAGGAATTACTTACGTGTGGAACGCGAACAAATGCATCCTGTACGCTCGAATTCCAGCCACTGATCTCTCAGCGAGTACTCCGTCGAATTACCTACTCGATACGAATTCGATTCGAATCGCGGCGATGAAGGTGGGGTTATGTTAGGTCCAAAGACGTTCCCGGTATATCTGATCGACCGGCCGAAAAGAAGAAGACGTCTTATTCTTCGAGGACGGTTCGCTCGATTTGACGCGGAGATAGCAAACTGACAATGTCACAAAGGGGACAGGGATTCTACTCGTTTAGTCTCGCGTTTTCTTTCGCGACGTATTCTCCGATGTACGTGTCGAAAACACAAGCTTCTCCATTTAAAACCACATACGATCTTCAATCGATTTTCATAATTAGCGCGCTTCGAGCAAGAAGATCAATAAAATAATCTGCACGATAAGTAAGTAAAAAGTTCTAAGAAGGTCCAACAAAGACCCAGATTTTATCTAGGATCTTAAATTCTAAATCCGTTGAATGAAAGGGAAGAAAAGATATTTATTGCATATTCAGAGAAAGTCTTTGCAAAGAAGTTTCCGATTGTTCCGATGTCCGCGGATCGTAGGAGAAAAATCGATATATCCGGGGACATGAAAAACGATCCTTCCTGGATACCGAACGATTCCGACCCTCCTCCTCGAGGCCCCTTCCTTGAATGGAGACCCGAGTCTGTGCATTTAGGAAAAAAAATTTCTATAGATTCCGTCACATGGAGCGCGTGCACGGCTACGTAACCTCCTGGAAAAACTAACAAAACGACTTCGAACTTGAGCAGATTTAATGGCCGTCCGTGTTCACCGGTAGATATACGCGTACGTAGCATTAAAGCCGAGTCTTCCGTGTCTCCTTTGAAAGGTGCAACAAGGAGATCCATCGGATCCCTTCGGCACCTTGCCACCGGGTGCCTTTTGTTACCTCACACGTGGCCAGGCTGTTTCTTTTTTTCTCTTTTCTTTGCCGCGTCTCTCTCTACCTTCGTTCTCTAAATCCTCTCGGTTTCTTTTCGAAAACAGTCTCGGGATTTAGGAACGGGCACACGACCTTCGCGCAACCCTTGAGTAGTTGCCAACCTGCGTTCAACCCCTTTGCTTTGTACGAGATTACACGCATGGCGTAAGACCATTTTCGGCCACTCATCCTCGCGTAATGGATACTTCATGCCTTTGTTCGTAACTTTTTTAGAAATCGCATTAAATATACATTTTTTGAATGTTCAGGTTTTTTCGAGTGCAACTCCGTAACCATTTTAAAAATTAGTGGCGGTACAACGCATCATAGTAGCAACAGTTCACTTTCGAATTAAGCCATTATCTCCAATTATAATCAATAGAATTACAATCGCTTGCCGCTTTCTAGCGTTTTAATTTCGCGGATGCAGTTTTCCAGAAACGGAATTCCTGCTTTCTAATTTTCACCTTTTCGATTGACACTGGTCCACAAAAGTACAGGTGATTGCTTGTACCTGTCGTGACACGTGTTTCTGTATTCAAAGCACCCTTCGCAGGGTGTCTTCACTTAGCGACAATAAGCATAAAGTTCCTCGTTTAAAGCGACACGCGACCTGTCCCGAACCCTTTTCCTCCCCAGGCGACGCGTTTCGCACGAGCCCCTTATTCTCGTAATCGAGCATCTGGTTAAGAAAAGGTTGAAGATAATCGATCGATTCGAGAGGCACCCCTCTTTGCCTACGTACCTGTCCACGAGCACAACACGTGTCGCTTTAAACCCCTTAACCCTATCGCGCCTTGAATAGTCGCGTGACCACATAAAGCACCCTGAGACACCCTAAACGATCTTTCACCACGTGAGGAATTAATTTCGAGCGTGAAAAGATCGAGACGGTTTTTCAACGACCTCGATCAATGGTCACGAACGTCTTGCAGGGGCTGTTGCAGAGCGGTGGTTACTCTTCAAGACCCAGTCATCCGCCCTCACAGTCCATGCAGGTACTGTTTCGGATTGGCCATCGAGCTGCATCCAAGTTAAACAAAAATACAGATATCGTCCATAGTGGATTGAAGACGACGTTTGGTTTTCTGTGATCAGGTGCAGCAGGCAGTGGCGCAAGCGGCCCAGCAATTGCAAGCTCTGCAGAAACAGCAGGCTCTCCAAGGTAGCGGGGGTCTGGTTGGTCGAAGTTTGACGCAACAAAGGTCACCACCGCCACCTGGCACACCGCCAGCCGTCAAACAACCACCGACCAGACTGGAACCATCGCCAGAAGAGACCACTGACCTCGAAGAACTCGAACAGTTCGCCAAAACCTTCAAACAGAGGCGGATCAAGCTCGGTTTCACTCAGGGCGATGTTGGTCTGGCGATGGGGAAACTTTACGGCAACGATTTCTCTCAGACAACGATCTCCAGGTACGACTCCAAATTAATATTCATATATTCGAAACTTTTTTTTTAATTTTGAAGATTTTCTCTGACCGATTAATGATCACCAGGTTCGAGGCGCTGAATCTGTCCTTCAAGAACATGTGCAAGCTGAAGCCGCTCCTGCAGAAGTGGCTGGAGGACGCGGACAACTCTCTGAACAATCCCAACTCCCTGTCGAACCCGCTCACCACACCGGAAGCCATTGGCAGGCGGCGGAAGAAGAGGACCTCGATAGAGACCAGCGTGAGAGTAGCGTTGGAAAAGGCGTTCATGCAAAATCCGAAACCCACCTCCGAAGAAATAACAGTCTTGGCAGACAGTTTGGCGATGGAGAAAGAAGTCGTTCGAGTATGGTTTTGCAATAGGTTAGTCTCAAATCGTTTCAGTAAATTTCAACTCTAATTTTTGCGCTAATTTCGGAGCGTTTAACGATCTACCACCAAAATTAATCAGACGTACTGTCCGTTCCAGACGACAAAAGGAGAAAAGGATCAACCCACCGACAGCGGCGATGGGCAGCCCAACGATGGCGTCCCCTGCACCCTCGGTGTTCGCGTCGCTCGCCAGCTCCATGTCGGGAAGTCCTTTGGCTTTGACGACGCACTCTTCAGGCATGGCGCATTCTCATCCTCATCCGACACCGTTGGGATCACCGTTACCCTTGGCCCTGGTGGCCTCCGCAGGTGGAAATTACCATCCGCTCAGCAGTAAGTCCCACGAGTGACACCAGCAGCCCACCCACCAGGGGGACACTATTTTTCACCAGCACCATCACCAACCACCACCGCATCAACAGCAACAGCAACGACGTTTGTGCAATTTACCGGAGTTCTATCATTAATTCGCCGGCTGGTCTGTGTGCAGTGGGTCACTGGTGACGACCCAGGGTCGATGCATTTCGGTGCCAAATGGAATTTGGCGACGACTGGGTGAAGCAATACACGGCTACACGTGTGGCTTGATACAATTCGAAACATATCCTGGTGTCGAGACCAGTTCGCTTCGAGGAAGCCGCGTTGGGATAGAGGGGACAGAAGCGTATAATCATCCGAAGAGTATACGAACCGAGACTATCGTCGGTGAAAGACTCTAGACAATTACTTATTTCGACTTTTAGTTCGATGTTGCGAACATCCAAAGAGCAGAGGTTTTGTTAGGAACTGTGTATTTTTTTCTCAGTATTACGTGTTTCGATGCACCGACTGACGTCACTGAAGAGGAAACTGTATCGAATGAAGTTTTCGTCTTGAACTCAACAGTCTTCTTTCGTCGATTTGACCAACTTAATTAATATGAAATCTCAAGTATCCGTGTCGATTTGAAAATATTTCGAAACGATAACTTCATTCTTACGTACGATACGGAGGCCGATGCCATTCAACGTTTACCTGTACAACATGCAATTAACCACACGAATGCAACTGGTCGCCATAAAACCCTCAATCGGTTTCCCTGGCTAGTCGTTCAATTATGAAATATTTATCAGGAGGAAACCGTTCGTGCAATCGACTGGTTTCTCTTCGATTTTCATTTTGGCGTCCATCTTGGACTCGCATCGTTCACGCTTCTCTCCGTTTCGCGACTTCGAATACGTGTGCTTCGAATTCGCGAAACGAGAACAAGAAAGGTCACTTGCATTCGTGTTCGAATCCTCAGACCACAGCACCAACAAGTAACACGTTGAAGGAATGATCACTTTCTGAATTCATCGAACGAGACGATTCCTTCGAGGAGAGCCATCTTCAAGCTCGTCTCTCCGTGGTAAGCAGGGTTTACGCGCCACCTGCGAGAGGACCATTTCTTCAAGATCGAAAGCTCGTCCAAAACCAATAAGTTTCTTGTTCAAGCTGGTCCACTGCCATGACAGTAAATTACAGTAAATAACGTCATCAATACCTACGAGCAAGAACGTAGCATAACAGATGAGCAAGAAAATAAGAACATAGGTTTCAACAAAATTTCAAACCCTACTGATAATTATTTTACAGTGATAAATTCCTGACAGAGGAATTATTTATTTTGTAAACGATTTGTAAGAAAAAGTGAAAGGTTGTGCGCCACATTGTGGGCCATATAGCGAGACTATATCATAGTAACAATCAAATATTAGACGAGCTTGCGATCTTCAAATTCTAATCACCCCTCGTGGGTGGCGAAAATGCGGCGAGGTCCGACAATACGTTTGTACATAATCGCGCGTGTGTTTGCGTGTCTGTCGCAGCGTCATACATATCCGTGTCCCGAGGTACGTCTGTACATAGAAATAAAAGCCAGAAGGTATCTAATCAAGGAGAATACGAGAGAAGCCTTGACCCGATTATATTGAAATTAGTTAATTGTAGCTGCTCGAACCAAAGGTGTCATCTTACGGAGAACAAACTGTTAAGAATAAAAGGGAAGGGTTCAACAAAGGTGTGGAAGCTCTCGTGTTCTCGAAACAATTCTTGCACAGACACGAGGATTTAGCATTTTGTAGATACATGCGTACGTGTACATACGATATACATATAAGCGAATCGTTATACATATGTTTATGAGGGTGAAATTTCTTGGTCGTGGCTTGACAGTTCGCTCGTTCTCGATATTTTTCAATATCAATTTCACACGAGGCTATGACACGAGTTTCAAACGCGAACTGTGATCCTGCGGGGCTTGAAAATTCGACTTTCGAGGTGGTGAACTCCCGGTGATTAATTAAGGGCTATGATAGATCAGTGATGGGCAGGTGCCCAGGTCAAAGGTGTGTGACGAGATAGTGTTCCATTTCTCAGATTTGAAAATTTAGAAATTCCTTTAGTATTCTGATTTTTTTCTGTTTAGAAACATAGGTGTTCAGAAATTTTGCAATTTAAAAATTTGGGGTTTTGGTAAAATTTTAGTAATGAAAACTATTAATTTAGAAACGTGGAGTGCCCTCGCGTGCATACTACTTGTACGTGCGTGCACAGTTGCCCATCACTGTGATAGACTGATTGTGAGACAAGTTACGTTCGTGAGAATCGCGATGAGAAACGTGTACGTGCATGGGAGTTACTAGCGTAATCGCCGTATACTAAGAATCATATACGTATAAATATATTATATATTATACATGTGTGTATGCGCGTATATGCATTCCGGGAAACTGAAAAGAAACGCGGCAGGCAAAACGGGCGCATCCGGTAATACGCGTATGCGTGTATAAATATACATATTATACATAAATGTATAAAGAAAACGTGTTGTAAATAATAGGAAGACTCGATAGAGAACGGCGATTAACGAATCAGCGACGGATTTACTCACCGTGACGATCGTTTCTTATTATTGCGATGATTAAGTAATCGTTAATTATAAAATATCATTGGGCAACGCTGTCACTCGATGATCGTAAGCGTAACAGTTCAAACGCCAAGTAAAAATTTTATTTCGATTCTTTTTTCATTTTCTTTTAGAGTACTTGGTGCTTGAATTTTGCGAGAAACCTTTCTTTGCATTTTATGAATAGAAATCGTTGAGAGTGTGTTCTATTAACGCGTTCCGTGCCGCCATCGGAAGCGCGTAAAAGGCAACAAGTATTCTTTAATTGAATTTAAGAAGTAAAAAATTGTAACAGTACATTCTTGTATAAAATTTGTTGAGACTTCTTTTAAATATCCGCGACACAGAACGTGTTAATATGTATATATATTTGATATTATATTATATGTAATTTTATACGGGAGCCACATCGACGTACCGCGATATACTACAATATATTTTCCATATTCTGGTGTATCGTGACCGCGCTATTGTATACATATAATATAATATAACATGTGTATGTTTGTATGTACGTATGTAAACGTGTACGAGACGAGATCTCATATCGATCAAGCGCGTCCTTTCGTTTCGGATCATGATTTCACCTGTGTACAGGGCCGGCCGTGCTTTCAAATGCCCCGGGAAAAAATTCACAATTAATGTCAAGCTTTACACAGTACTAAATTATAAGCGTTTTAATTTTGAAGCCTTTGGAAATTTAGATATTTGAATAAATTTGGAACAATTTAAAAATATGAAAGCAATTTTAGAATCGAAAGTTTCTAAGTTTAAAGAATTTGTACCTGGAAGCATTTGAAGCATGGAACAATTTCGAAACACAGTTTGCTGGCCCTACTCACCCCCATAATCATCCCTCATTTTTCACGCAATCATCAAAGTAACTCCTCACCCTGTTTCGTTTTACTTTGAACATTAACTTCCAGAGTCGTGGACCAAGCTGTAGCGAAGCAAAAGCGCGAATGAGAGAGAGCGAGAGATCTTAGCGAAAAAGAAAAAGAGTTCCTAGTGCACCCGGTTCGAGTGCGTTGCGTAGAAGTTTTTATAGATTAAAATGAACGATCGAGCGAGGAGAAATGAGAAATCGATAGACAAATAGGGTGAAGAAGGAGAGATACGAGAGCAGAGACAAGGGACACTCGCGTTTTCCTTTTTCTTCTTCCCGTTCGTCGTTAAGGTGTACAGTATGCTTTATTTTATTTTTATTTTGTAGATAGAAGAGAGAAATTAGAATCGAACCCTCGTCCCCACCCTCTGATCGACGTGTCATTGGTTCATTTTTATTCTGGGCCTCGATGACCCAGCGCATTCCGTGAGCGATACACGCATTATCACAGTGATTATTATTATTATTAATTATTGATTATTATTATTATTATTAATTATTATTATTATTATTAATTATTAATTATTATTATTTCATTATATTTTAACTTTTATTATTTGAAAATAAAAGTACTAGACAGACTTTAGTTATTTATGTTCCTTTTAATTTCTTTCTGTCTACCCTTTCTTCCCTATTTTCGATCATTTTTTTATATTTTAGTACTTCTAATCTCTTCAAGGATGGTTTCTATAAAAATATAAATTTATATAATTTCTTCGTGGTAATTAACAAAAATTAACTACATTCTTGAAGAGATTAATTTGTGCAATTTAAAGAAGTGAGAAGTTTTAGTTTTTCATAGCGAAACTTGACAATCTTTTAAGTAAGGTTTCTACAAGACTTAAAAATGACCTAACCATCTTGTTAAAAATTTTTCGTTGACACGAAGATCCGCAAGATTTTTACTCCTGCCGTCCCACCGCGTTTTTCTTGTAAATACCTGCACAAAATAATTTTAAAGAGACGCGCAAGAACACGCAGATACCATTTCCCAAGATGGCGGCACAATGAACGCAACCAAAATGGTCGGTATACAAAAGTTAGTCGCCTAATTCAATCAATAGAGACGTATAATCATTTACAGAGACGTCTAGTATTAATTTAGAAGCCTATTAACGATTCGATGTGTAAACCCGTAAATAATGGGACGTTCGACTCGATGCCTAGAGATAATGTAATCTATATAAGGAAGGTGTACCATTTAAAGGTAAAAAAAAAAAACATTATAAACGACGAAAAGCGGTAATCGTTAGGTGATAAACGACAAACGAAGAAAAAAAAAGGAGCACGGTATGACAGTTCTTAAAAGGGTAAACGAAATTAATTAGTAAAGTCATAATCGCGAGGAACATCCTCGTTCGATGACAAGAATCGTGTAAACTATTTTGTACCGAGAATTAGAGGCATGCTCGCGATATTCGTGATCTTTTTATCGCGTTCGCTTGTAACAGTGAACGTTTCTATCGCGAAACGCGCTACGATTAGGAATAAATGATTAAAAATGTATGTTTCTGACGTCCGCCCTCCATGCTTCCCCCCGGTCCCGCGGGGATTCACCGGAAGCTAGTGTGCGTGAGACCGTATGAAAGAGAGTGAAAGAATGTGTACGTGCGGCGACGATGCTGTATAAATAAAGTCATATCAATCTGGAATAGTTCATGTTATCTAAGATATACTATTACTACGATCATTATCACAATATGATTAGTAAGAATATTGTAATTGTATAATAAACTGCGTCATAGATATGCCGTCGATGTTGATCCTACTGAGCACAACCTTATTACTGTTTTATCTCGTTTTAGGACCTCGGTTACGAATCGTTCCCTACAACTCACTAGAGTGAGATCGGGACAGTAGGCTTCGTGCCTACTCTACGTTTTTCGATAATAAAATCTTCAAAATAAAATTTTACTTCGTAAGAACGGTTATATAACATTTTTCATGACATTCTAATTTATTACAAAAAATATACAACTTGAAATAAAAGTGAAATCATAAGTGGCGTAATGAATATTATGCGCCAAGAATTGTTAACGTATACATGTTGCTGTATAAATACTAAAAAAAGGTTAGATAATACTAATCGTCGATAAAATAAGTTTGATTTATAGATAAAGTCATTGATTACACTTATTATGTTACAAAATATATTTATAAATTGCAAAGGCATTATTATGCTTAAACCTTTCTTTTCCTTTTACGAAGCGTCATTTCAAGCTTGATATATTCTATATCAAATTCAACTGCATGAAATACAATAACAACGAAGGAATATACTTTCTTCAAATTTGTCCTTGCCGCGCTGTTTTTCATTGTTTTCATTGGACAGATCGAATAATGTTGTGCCTTAACTGCCACGGTATAATTAAATACAGTTTATGCCCCATTTTCATAAAATTATATGGCTATATTTGCAATCACAGTGCTCGGTTTATGGTTCAGTATGGGTTTTGTCCATGAGGAGGGTGACCGCCGGTGTAACGCGGCATGGTCGCAAATCCGCCATAAGGATTTGGCGGCATAGGCTGGTATGGAGTATAACCTCCTAAAAGTGAAACGTCAAATGTAACACATATGAAACGTTATGAATATCCAGTAGTAATTCTGGACTTTAGTTACCTTGTGTTGGATAAGGCATTGTTGCATATGGGTTATAAGTAGCAGGCATAGGAGGTGGTATGTATGCAGGATAAGGTGTAGCTGGACCAGCTCCATATGGTATCGGCATTGCACCTTGATACTGTGTAGGGTACGGCAACTGTGAGGATCCACTTTGTTCTGTCCCAGATTGACTTTGTGCTGATACTCCTAATTAAATTTTCGATTGGAAATTAACTGTATAAAAAATTTTATAACATTATGTCTAAACACTAGGTCTACGGATACTCGATGAATACTTTTTAGATTAGACACAAACAACAATGAGAAAATGAAGGATGAAACATAAATTAATTTATGCGCTTATTCTTTATCTTAACAAACTTATCATACATTATTTACATAACCTAACATACGTCGCTTCGACGTGTTCCGTAAACCTAGTGTTAGTATATTATATACCTCCATGATGAGACGGAATAGTAGGGGTCGTAGCTGGGCCGGTATGACTCAAATTTGTAGTTAAATCTTTCAATAACTCTTCTTTCTCAGTTTTACGAGCAAAACAGAAATCTGATATTTTATTTTGGAAGACCACCAATAGCTATAAAAAATAAAATCGCACATTGTTTTGACGAATATAATAGCAATTAATGAAAATATAATTAATATTTACCTGCGTCAAGTCGTTGTAAAATTTAGCACCTTCGTTCAAGTTGTCTCTTAATTCTTTAAATGCATCATAAGCAGCTGCCAGTTTACATAACATCGCTTCTCGCGAGCTACCACTACCAGATTGTTCTGCTGTAAATTCTGAGTGACTCCTCTGTAAATTTTGCATTAATTAATATCATAAACAATATCTTAATTATATATTATTGCATTCGAGCGTACCTGAATTTCTGCAATGAGTTGTTCCTGACGAGCAACGCTTTCCCTCACTTGTTTCTGTAAAGGTCCGTATGTCTTTCCTATACTTTCCACGGATAAGTTTGGTTCATCGATTGCACCATCTTTAGCAAGCGCTGACAAGAATGTCGTTTTCATGTCAGTAGCAGCAGATTTTAATTCACTTTCTATGACATCGCGTTCTGCTTTCAACGTTTCAACCTTAAAAAATACAACGATATAACTCAATATAAATTAAATAAATTGTAAACTTATAAAAAATACTTACATCTTCCATCAATTTTCTAAGATGAGCAACAGTGCGGCTTTCTTGAACCGCTGAACCAGCTGGCACAGCATTGATTAAATCGCCCTCATCCGAACTTAAAATTTCCATACCCTCTTTATGACTTTCATATTTTTCGCGTACAACTTTGTCAGCTGTTACAGCATTATTAATAATCTCACGATACTTCCGCAGATTAACAGTGAACTGCTCTGTTAAACGCGCACTAGGTATTCTCGTCCATCGTTCTTTAAATTGTTCTTTTAATTGATCGTCAGATTCTCGCTCTTCTTGGAGCATTCGGTCACACTACGGAAATAACATTAATTTAATAATCATCTCAATAAATAATTCTGTATTCACTCACCTCGTCTAGAAGTTCTTTATTTCGTTGTAAAAGCTCGGGTAACTCTTTCATAGAACTATTCAAAGCTCTAATTCCACCTGCTTCATTTACATATTGAGCTTTTTCTAACAGAGATTGAGGTAACTCTACTCCACTTGTGTCTTCGATAGCCGCCGGTAAGTTTAAACTTGCCAAGACGCTAAAAATATGATTACTAGGTATTAAATGAATATTGATTAGATGTTATAGAGACTTGTATTTCTACGTACCTATTCAAAACTTGTGTCATCTCACGTAATTTAGATATTTCCGAATTAACTAGTTCATTACGACGAACTTCGTAAGAAGATAACGCTTGATGCACGGTAACGGGTAATAGGTCAGAGAAAAGATCTAGAAACAGAAAAATGTAAATGAAAAAGAACTGCATTCGAATAAATTACCGCTACGGATAACAAACCTTTAAAGTTCGAGCTGAAAACCTCTGGCAGTGGTAACAACTTTGCAACACTAGCTTTGCCAATAGGTTCCAACGATTTAACGTCGGGTACCCTTTCGTGATAAATAAAGTCATTGTCTTTCTTCACTTCTGTAAGATTCCTTTGAGCCCTGTTAGCATAATCTTGGAACAAACTAGGTTTATTTGAACGTTGCTGAGCAGCTTTAAATAATTCTACAGCATGCTAAAAACACATATATTTTAAACATAATTACACATATTACAGTAATAATTATATGCAAGGCTTACCTCTAGTCTGGCAATTTCTTCCCCAATGTTCTTATTATTTTTACACACAAGTGACTGATAAAAATCAGCCATTGCACGGTACCCAGCTTGTTTTCCTGCAATCTATGTTAATATAATAAGTACAATTATTCAGCATACTTAATTTTTATAAAATCCATGTGAAATATACATACTAAGGGAACCCATTCTTTATCCCAAAATGCTCTAAAAATCTCTTTTTGAAACAACTTTAATGCATCTGCATATAGTTCCTCAGCCTGTGCAGCTAATTTAGCAACAATTCCATCTTTCATTGCATCATAGATTGCTTTATGTACAAATATTTCTTGAGCTTGAGCAAGCATTAATGCAGATAATGCACTTAATGTTTCTGGACTAATGTCTGGTGTGAGTTCTTGAATAGCCATCATAACATTTCCTTTAAGATAATTAAAGATTCCAGCAGATTGCTGAAGTTTACACAATTAAATATAAACATCAAAACTTCCAAATAATATTATGCAATTAATTTTATGAAATAGATGTACTAACTTGAAACAATTTTGCAGCCAATTTTAAACCTTCATCACTCTCTAAGGATTGTGTTGCTGCTATTGAACTTTGCAATGCAGCAATATTAAATAATACACATACTTTTTCATATCCAATTGTACTAATAGCTGAAAACATAAATCAATGTATAAAGTCAAATATTGTGAAGCTATAATCACAAAAATGTAACCAAAATTAATGATACAATCAATAACTTTATCTTATCTATTGCTTATTTATTAATCAGTTGATGACTAAGACACATTTTTGTTCTCACATGAATACATAAAAAAACATTGAAATATCTTACTTAAACTAAGTTTTCCACCAAATATAGTGCGATCAAATGCATCTTTCCACTTAAATGGAATTTGTAATTCATGAGCAGGTATTTTCCCTTCCAATGCACATAATTGATCATAGTAGCTGAAAATGGTAAAAATAATTTTTATTCAAAATATAACAATAATTCTGAATGATATCATTATATTATATTCTAACAAATTAGTATTAATAAACAAATATCTTATCATGCACTTGAAAACTGTCGAAATTAGATAATAAATTTTTGACTGCTTGTAGTAATTATTCCTAAAACAGCATTTTGAAATAAGGGTCAAATTAATAAACCAGAAGATACCGGATGTACAGATTTTTGAAAAATCATCATAATTACATTCGAAATAATAATTAAACATGACTCATACCTGTATATAACCTCCAAGGAACTTTCAAACTTCTCGAATGCTCGCCACAAAGCATTGTTTCTTAGTTTACTAAAATCATTTATTGCCTCCGTATAATCTTTTTGATTACTTGAACTATTATAAGTTGATTTAATAACGTTTGTAAGTGGTTTAATAACGTCAACGTCAGATGGTTTTTTCAACGGTACCGCAATTAGCTCAGCCATTTTGACGTATGTTTGAAGTGAAGTGAACTAGGTACACGTATGATAATATTGCTACATGTAGTAGTAGACAAGGAGAGACCGGGGTGGTGGAATAGATACCGTACGCCGTACACAACTGACTAATACATTTTTATACCACGCGATTAAAAGGATCCTAGAGCCCTCTTGCTTGTATCTTACAAGTTATTGAACTCTTTGAACAGTATCTATTCTAACATCCAATTGCGCAATTCTATAAATTTTAAAATTTACAAAAGAAGATATGCGCAAATGTACTTTTTTATGAAGTTTTAAAAATTGCGTTACTTCTTTATACTTGTTCTAATAATATAAGACAGTCTTCTCCACAATTTTAAAACCAGGAAGTTATTATTGTCCTTGTTCCTCTTGTACACAGTAGCGTGGAAGAAACAAGGATCGCTAATCTTATCTGTTGTTTCCCAATTTTGCTGCCAGAGGTCCTTAACCCATTCCATCAGACCTCCTGCAAAGCTCAAACATTCAAATGTACAAGAATAAATCTACTATTCATAAATGTTTATTTACAATATGATACATATAAAAGAATTTTAATTAATCATCGCATACAAGATTATCCAAGGATTTTTTTGCATTTGTAGCAACCTGCTCCTATTGAATAAATAATCTTATTGTGAATTAGAACTTTTAATATGAACTGATTATCATAAACTGAAATATCAATTAACCTTCAATGATTTCATATAAATATCCAATTCATCCTCAGTCTCATTCTCATTTATATCCTCAGTTAAATTTACAATTTCTGGAGATTCTGAATCAAAGTATTTATCTTCTTCATCCTGTGATCTTATATCAATGTTATCATATGCTTCATTATTATCAACAGTACTGAAAAAAAAAATTGTATATAAAGTATATTAATAAACCAACATATTAAAATAATTGCTTATAATTAAAACCTATTATAATACCTATAATCAAAATCTGTATCTTTCCCATCTAAAAAATTTTGATACATGTAGCTTACAAATTCTTGTTTAAGTATTTGTTTTTCTGCTTTAGATATATTATGTGGCTTTTTATTTATTATTTGTAGTTCATTATGAGGTTCTGGTTTGTGTAATTCTAAAAATTTTCCCCACTGTTCAGTTTTTTCTGTATTAAGTTTTAATGTACAACTATCTTGCTGTTCTTCATCTGATTCAGTTTCTTCCAATACATTCTGTTCCTCTTCTTCTTGTAATTTTTTTTTCTTACTTATATTATCTCTGTCAATGCTCTCCATTAATAAATTTACAAAAGTAATATTTTTAGTATCTATATTATCTCTTATCTGTTTTTGCTTTTCAGTCATATATTGTCCAATCAAATGTTCGTATAATAATGGATTTCGTTTCATCATTTCTGTTTCACTGAAGTATTCCCCTTCATCGATCAAAGTTTTTAAAGCTTGATACCGCCTATTTCTAATATCTGTTTGTCTTGTTGAATTATTAAAATACCTTCGCAGTCTATTAATATGGTGAGCAATTTCATAGTCTTCATCTTTATCCTTCTCAAAATATTTTAAGTGTTCTTCTTTTAAGTAGTGTCCAAATTTTGATAAGAACGAACAATGGCTTTTTTTAAGAACATCACGAGCAATTGTTAATTTTTCTTCTAAACTTAAATCTGGATCATCCTTTTGTTGACTTATAAAAGTTGCTTTGCTTTTAGCTACGTAGTTTAAAAGTTCCTCCTCCACATTTGCATCTTCTTCTTTTTCATTCAAGAAATTTTGTTGCAAGTTATTATCATTATCTTTTTCATCTACAATCATTTCTAGTGCGTGAATTTGCCTTACTTCTTTCTGACTCATTCCTAACCAAACTAATACATTTTAAATTTATAGTAACCTTAACATTGGGCTTCAATATAACTTGTTGATTTATTGGTTAGCACTTCTTTGAAATTTATAAACATTTCATGTTCATATATAGCTTAAAGTAGTAAATGTTCTGCATTTATTTTTCTATAATATATTTACTTTCTTTGTACACATTACCATCAGATGCATCACCGATGTCACCTGTCACCTGAAACCTAACCAACAAGTTTATTTCAACATACTTCAGCATTAGATTAAATTTGAAAGGTGATACGTTGTGAAACATGTCATAAAAATTATAGTTCTATAAATCGAGATCTATGCATGATAGGTAAGTGTTTTACAGCATAGTAAATTTATCATGAACGTTTAAATTATAATTACTTGTTTTCTTTTATAATATGGCAATAGTTGTTTAATCAGCTAAGTATACAGAAAATGTGTTGCAGTTTTGAATATAATGTAATGAATTTGCTTGATAAATCTCAAAGTTTACACTATTAATATATTATTAAAATTTCCCTAAAAATTTTGTTATTTGTCAATATACTATTAAATTTGAAACATTATTTCTTACAGCTTTGAAATATGGATCAGTGGATGAGCGATGGTGGTGGAGGGACATGGAAATGGAATTGGACAGAATTATGTGGTAGCCGTAGTGGTATTAGACCGTTGAGTCCAGACACGCATGATCTTAATATTTGTTTTCAACAGCTTTGTCTTCAGGTAATTTAATATTGCTTACTATATTCATAGCTCTATGATTCATATATAGGTCAATGTAATATCTATGTTTTTTATAAATTTCAGGTTCCAGTTTTAGTCTGTATTGCATTAATATCTGCATATTATTGTGGGAAAAGAAATACCTATTCTATTCATCACTCTGGCTCTAATTATATTATAAATTTAAGAGCTTTTTTTACAGTGTGCCTTGCAATCCTTCCAATAATTAGAGCATATATTATTCTCACTAATACAGTTCTTGCTCCGCAAAGTGTCACAACGTTCAATGATGATTCCGCTAGGCTTGAATCTACAGTGACACCGTATCAAAGTTTAGATATATCTACAGATGCATCAGATATAATACATCAGATAAAAGATGGATTTGATCGTTCCATTAATTTTACAAAATCAATTTTGTTTCCAAAAGACATTATGCAAAGTATTACTGAGCCTTCTATTGCTACTTCTACGCAGAATTATAATTCAGTATTCAATGAAGTCAAAGATAACACTACGTCTGCCAAACCTATTGATTACCTAGTAGCAGGTACTGAAGGATTAGCATGGGTTGTTCATGTTTGTTTCATATTAAGTTTAAAAAAAGGAAGGAATATTAATCCTAGAGGCCCTGTATTAATTCGAGCATTGGTGTTTTTGTTAATTGTTATTTCTATATTACTGCTGAGGAGTCACATTAAATATGATGCACAAGATGATGTTTTACCCAATTTGTCATTGGGATTCAGTATCAGTGTAGTTACCCTATTAATACTGTATGCCATAACACTGATACCAGGTCAGAGCAGTTTACGAGATATGAGATCATCTCAGTTTAATGAAGTAAGTTACCTCGTATACTTTTAATATAATGATCTGTAGCACTATCATGATTAATGTTTTTGATGTGCTTATCATGGTATCTAAATCCATGGATTATTGGACAAATATAGATACTATAGCTACCTCAAAAATGTCTTTAGATAGGAGAACGGACTGCACTGTTGAGTACACCCAATTCTTCTTATGTGAGATTTCCTGATGATCAAGACCCAACTTACCTTGGGACTGCTATGGAGGAAGCTACAATAACATCCAAACTGATATTTCATTGGGTAAATCCAATGATGGAAAAAGGTGTTCGCGGCTTATTAAATCACTCGGATGATTTATTCGATTTGCCAGAATATATCAGTACTAACTATATTAGCCAGAAGATCAATAACCACTTTCAAACTATGGTAAATCCAATATTTTATTTTATGTTACATCAATGCCAGAAATTAACACTATCAATATAGGTAATATTACATTATAGTCGAACTATGTAGATAGTAGAACGGAAAACGCTGAAAATACAATGTTGGAAACACATATACATGTTATTAGAAACAAGATGACTTTATTCTATTTGTTACACAAATGCTTTGGTTGTGAATTTTATTTAGTTGGAATCTTAAAGTTTATGAGTAACTGTGCTACGTTCACGGGACCACTATTGTTAAATAGATTAATTGGTTTCATAGAAGATAAAGATGAACCTATTTTGAATGGATATTTATATGCATCATTACTGTTTATTACTTCTTTAATAGGTAATGTTTCCACATGAATTTTATTTTAATTACATCAAATACGTAATTGTTACTTTTATGAACTATAATAATTTTGCGATTTTAGGGGCCTTTTGTAATACTCATTTTACATTTTGGATGTCTATTGTTGGTTTAAAAATTCGTTCTGCAATCATAACTTTGTTGTACAGGAAGACCTTGCATTCTTCAGGTATTCACTTGAGACAGCAATTTAATTTTGGTGAAATTATTAATTTTATGAGTACTGACTGTGACAGACTTGTTAACAGTTGTTCAAGTTTTCATGAATTTTGGAGTATTCCATTACAGGTAATTTTTTAATATATCTCGATATTCTGCTTTGAACTCTATCTTTTAGTAGTTATTTCGGAAAATTTCTACAGTGATACTCAGAGTGTCATATATCTTTTTTAGCTAGTTGTGACACTATATTTGCTTCAACAGCAAATAGGGATTTCATTCTTAGCAGGGGTTACTTTTGCAATAGTGCTTATACCAATAAATAAAGTGATAGCAAATTATATCGGAAAACTTAGTACAAGGTTAATGGAACGTAAAGATCAAAGAGTGAGACTTATAGGAGAAACGTTACGAGGAATTACTACGATTAAATTAAACGTTTGGGAGGACCACTTTTTACGAAATATTTTTAGTTAGTATATATTTATATTTCCATAATTTACCCTCGAACATAAATTGTTAACATGTCTTCCTTACCTAGAATTAAGAGAGAATGAAATTAAATATTTACGCGGTAGAAAATATCTGGATGCATTGTGCGTTTATTTTTGGGCTACAACACCAGTATTGATTTCTATATTAACATTTACTACATATGTACTGCTTGGGAATGAACTGGATGCTAAAACCGTGTTTACTAGTATGGCATTATTGAATATGCTAATAGGTCCATTGAATGCATTTCCATGGGTTCTAAATGGTCTTACCGAAGCTTGGGTATCACTTAAAAGGATTCAAAAAATGTTAGATGTAAGCTGCCTGCCTTTCTTAAGTAAAAATGAGAACTTGAAAATTTCAAATACCAATTGTTTAAATACTATTTGATTAGTTACCAGATACAGATATGTCATCATATTATTCAGAAACTGTACCTGACCTAGATTTAATGCTTCAAAATGTAACATTTAATGTGAACACGCAGTCGTGTACGAAACAAAATGGTCTTGAGACGCCTGAAAATGTTTTAACTCCTTCTAGTTCAGAATCTAAATCTGTTACGTTTGAGGACAATAAAATATTTACTATACACGACATTAATGTCACAGTTCCAAAGGTAATAAAAAGATAGTTTCTCCGGATTTGTTTGAGGTTTAAAAGTTGAACGAGTTTTTGTTGTAGGGTCATTTAATTGGTATTATGGGAAAAGTAGGTAGCGGAAAATCGCTACTTTTAGACGGCATTTTAGGTGAAATTACTAAAGTTCGCGGTACAATATCTATGAGTGACGTTGAAAAGGGTTTCGCTTATATCAAACAAAATCCTTGGTTACAACGTGGTACCATCCGAGATAACATACTTTTCGGTAAATCTTACGACTACCACAAATATAAGTAAGTGTCGAACTACACCGTTGAAGGTTGGTATAATATTCTAATACAAATTAATTCATAACAGGAATATTTTGAAAGCCTGTGCGCTGAGTGCCGATTTAAATGCTTTACCCAAGAAAGATTTGACGCCTGTTGGCGAGGCCGGCAACACTTTGAGTGGCGGTCAAAAAACACGAATTTCTTTAGCACGAGCTGTGTACGCGGACAAAGATATTTATCTACTCGACGATATTTTCGCGACATTAGACTCGAAAGTTGCTACCTACGTATTTGAGCATGTGATCTTAGGGTTATTAAAAAACAAAACGAGATTGCTATGTACTCACCAAACCCAATATTTGATTCATGCGGATTTGGTGGTGGAAATGGCTAGAGGCAGGATCGTTAATCAGGGTAAACCTACGGATATTTTGCCCGACCTAGAAGACTATTTATTATCTTCAGAGTCTATAGAATCAGATTTGGACATTATGTCTGTAAGTGACTTGCCAAAAGATATTTATCAAAGTGACAGGGACGAGAGAGACCCCTTGCTTGAAGAAGAATTCAGAGAAAAAGGGACTGTGCGTCTTGGCGTATACAATTGTTACATAAAAGCTGTTGGTCGTTATTTAGCAATTTCGATAGCTCTTTCCATGTTTTTAATGCAAAGTTCTAAGAATATTACCGATTTGTGGCTGTCTTACTGGGTTACTCATACCAACACGACAGCGAATAATACTACGAACAAATCACATACAGTACATCTACAATACTTCTTCGACGAGTCTACTCCGAGCACTAGTTACTATTTAACGATATATACTGTGTTAGTTGTTTTGAACACAGTTTTCACGTTAATGAGAGCATTTATGTTTGCGTATGGCGGAATTCAAGCAGCCATCACTATACACAAACAACTATTAAAGACTGTTATACGGGTACGTAACATTCGGAACAGCCGAATATTTAATGTTAAAACACACGGTACAAATGCAGTTATATTTTCAGGCTAAATCCGTGTTTTTTGAAGTTCAACCATTTGGCAGAATTTTAAATAGATTCTCGTCCGATACCTACACGATCGACGACAGTCTTCCTTTTATAGCCAACATATTATTCGCACAACTCTTTGGTTTGCTTGCATCAGTTATTGTCACAACGTACGGATTACCGTGGATACTTTTAGTACTAGCTCCGCTGGTACCAATTTATCATTGGATACAAAATCACTACAGGTATGTGCTTATAGAAATGTAAATTTTTTCACCTGACTTTATAAAACGTGTTTCAGGCTGACTTCAAGAGAATTGAAGCGCTTATCTAGTACCGCTCTTTCACCGTTATACGCACACTTCAACGAAACTTTGCACGGATTATCGACCATCAGAGCTTTTCGTACTGTGCCTCGTTTCAAGCAAGAAAACGAACTTCTGCTGGAAGTCAGTCAAAAAACGCAATTTGCATCATTCGCCGTCAGCCAATGGCTTGCATTAAGGTTGCAACTCATTGGAGTGGCACTTTTAGCTGGAGTGAGCACCATAGCAATTTTACAGCATCAGTATGACATAGCTGATCCTGGCTTGATAGGTCTTGTCGTTACTTATACGTTATCCATAACTGGTTTATTGTCCGGCGTGGTGAACGCGTTTACCGAGACAGAAAGGGAAATGATCGCCGTCGAACGCGTGAAGCAATATTTAGAGAACGTTCCAGTGGAAACTATAAAAGGAGATAATCCACCGTATGCTTGGCCAAGTCAGGGAGTAGTTGAGTTCAAAGACGTCGTTTTAAAATACAGGTAATTGCAACTTTTAAATAAATAACAAGTTATCTGATTTCGTTGGTTTTCACGTCAAAATTCGCGAGTCCCCAAGATCGATGCACTGAACAGGTGCTTCGTTTCCCGGCACTATTGGCAATATTGATAATAGATAAGCTTTTTACGGTAACTAGTACGTTACAGGGAACATTTGGTGCCATCTCTGAACGGCGTATCGTTCGTCACGCGACCAGCAGAGAAGATTGGAATCGTTGGGCGTACAGGTGCTGGAAAAAGTTCGCTCTTCGCTTCGTTATTTAGACTGATTGAAGTGACTACCGGAAGTATACTCATCGATAATGTTAATATTCAAACTCTGCAGCTGAACGCGTTGAGGTAATTATTTTCAGCTTGAATTTCATCCACTGTTCTAGACTAGAGTATGGCACGAATCGTTTCAGATCACGGTTAGCCATTATCCCCCAAAATCCGTTCCTCTTTTCGGGAACAATTAGGGAAAATCTTGATCCTTTAAATCAGTATGCAGATTTGCACATATACAGAGCGCTGGAGAAGTGTAAAGTACACACGTTAGTATATCGGCTGGGGGGACTTGGAGCTACTTTGGACGAAAGTGGTAGCAATCTTAGCGCAGGACAGAGGCAATTGTTTTGCCTGGTTAGAGCTGTTTTACATAATGCCAAGGTTAGTTAACTTTTTTGTTCACTGTATTTTTTTCAATTTATTCCCTACAAATTTTAATTTTTAGATTGTTTGTATCGACGAAGCTACGGCCAACGTCGATCAAGAAACAGACAAATTTATTCAGACGACGATAAAGTCTTCCTTCCAGAGCGCCACGGTTCTCACTATAGCGCATAGAATAAGGACGATCATGCACTGTGATAGGTATGATAATTTTTTATAAATATTTATAAGAGGTTTGTAATACATTGATACTTTTATTTCAGAATTCTCGTAATGGGAGACGGTGAGGTTCTAGAGTTCGACGAACCTAACTTGTTGATCCAAAACACCGATTCCTACTTTTATCAATTAGCGTGTCAAGAATTTACGAATACGGAATAATTTCATAGTATAAGGAAACTACATTATAAATCATGATTATTTTCATATGAAACTAGAACTGTATTTTAATAAGAATATAAATAACGCGATCATTTGCTAAAGATTTTATGTGATTCAAGTCCTAAACTATTAGTAATTTATTTTACAGTTAAGTTATAGTGTACTGATCAACGCTACCTCTATGTAAGGTCTCTATGTCGGTAATACACGTAATAATTCGTCGAAATCTATGTATCCTCTTTTGTAACGATCCAAATCCTTGAATACTTCATCCCACACCGACAGTGGTACCTTCAAACCAACAGACTTGCTCGCGGAATAAAAGTCATCCAAGAGTAAGTACCCCTTATCTGAAAATTCGTATATTCTTTCACTAATAATTAAAAGATTATTATTGTGAATGGTAATTACATACAATCCTTATCTAACAAAGCAAATATTATTTCCGCATTGATGTGTGGATCTTGTGCGACGCATTTTTTAAGCACCCATCTTTCAAACTCTTCGTACAGGATTTTATCAGTGTGCTGAAAAGCTTGCTTCACCTCTACCTACAAACGTGATAATTATTTCACGAACTCTAATCATTCCGTTTAAAGGGTTTACTTTATCCGGCCGATATCCAAACACGGCCGTCATCGCTATTTTATATTGTTGTTTGGTCAACGAACCCGTGGAGTCTACGTCAGCATAATCGAAAGCCTGTAAAACGCAAAGCTACGAGTCTCTCACAACTCTTTTCCCATGGTTCGACTTACCGTTTTCGCACGTTCCTTGTACACGTGCGTCATCTCTTGCTTGTCGGATGAATTCAGCTGGAAGGAAACTTCCTTGAGCGACATTACGAATTAAGCGATTGCGAATGAAAGCGAGGTGTTGCAGAGAGATCGGTCTTTCACGCGGATAACTCGACCGACACGCATTATATCGTAATTAAAGCAGTGCCTCTCCATTCAGCCGGCAGTATTTTGTAATATTCATCGCGGAGCCAATTAACGCCGCCGCGGGACACAGAGGTACACGCGTCTCAATGACATAACGTGTCTGCTGTATCCGGCATTCATTCGTCACATATTCGCGGACCCCTGTCATCGTTCTCCACCGCTGAAAACTAATGAGCTGTAACTCCGCTCTGATTTTGCTCGCCGTTTTTTTTAATTACCCACCATTTAATCTCATTTATTCCCACTTCCTTTTTTTACATCGTACGCGCACGACAGAGCAGAAACGATATTATTTTTTTCGCGCGTGCACGACTAATAAAACCAGAGAAAAACGATGTTCGCTAATGATGTTCGTCGCTACAAGTCGCGACGATTTAACCCCTCGACCGGGTTGATCGTGGCCCACTATTTGGGAATCTCGAAACGAATGATTTTCGTGTATTAGGAAAATGAGTTACATTATTTTTCGCACCAGCGATCCATCTAAGAGCTAAAGTACAACACGATTATTACATTAAAATTGTTAAACAAACCTTTATTCGTCAGAAAATATGTAAACGAATTTTCGTGCAATTCCTGTCAGCGATGATCGTTTAAATAGCAACAACTTCAGTCAGTATTTCAAATATAAAATCGCGATGCTTATCTGTCGAGTGGATGACGCCCCAGTAAACGTCATCGATTTCAGCGCAGACCTCGTTTGGAGGTTTATGACCCCTCGAAAACGACGAATTAAGTAATTTTCATAATTCCTCGTCTGGTCGCAATTCTCATGGCGACGCGACAGACACAGATGGGGATCTAGCGCGGCGGCACAGCAGTGTTTTTTTTCTTTCTCTTTGTCGAAGCGGCAAGAAGCCGCCTTTGAAACATGTGTGCTTCCGGCGTAAAGCACAGGCAATCTCGAGTGAAAAGCGGAGACTTACAGCGGCGTTATGTCATCGGCCGATACACTCCGACAGACCATAAAACGCGTCACGGCAAGAAAACGTTATACCCCCCTCGTAAAGAATAAGTTTGCGGTACGGATATTTCTGTTCGCGTGAAGCATGAGCTCGTGTCACGAACATTCGCGCCTGGATCTTCCAGACAATAGCGTAGGAATCAGCTAGGGAGCTCCCATTATTATTACGCATAAATATAATTCTATATTTCGCCACATTTTCACGTGATCGTTAATTTGGAGACTCGCGTGTGGATAACCAACACCGGTTTCCGCTTCGACATCGATCGCCCGATAAAAAAAACGAAATACTCTCAGGCAGAGCATTACGTTTTCTGTCGCTAGAGGAGGAATTTCTCGAGGGCTCGCGTGCACGGATTTTCTTAAAAAGAGGATTAAACGCACGGCGTGGAATATTTGAAATTTCATCTTGGATGTAGCTCGCCCCGTGACACAGCCGGTACGCAGCCCTTCGCTCTTGCGCGTCTCGGTGGGCACTCGAGGCTTGAAGCACAGTCACTAGCGTAGGGGGCTTGCCGGCTACCCCAAAAGTGCACCTATCAAGGGTTGGTTTCAACGAGCATACAACCCTAGAGACCCTTGCTATCGCGGAGACTGGTACGCGCCGCCCTTTGGAAACTAGTTCGCGTTTGTTATTGAAGTCTCGGACGCAATTTCCTCGTGATAACGTGTGAGCCGCGAATTAGATCGGATGGAAAATATGGATATATGTATGGCCGTGGCTGGATATTATAACGCGTTAATTTATCTCGATACCCTTGCAATTTACCGGCTTCATAGGGTGACGGGAAAATAGATCGAACCTTGTGTACTCGATTATCAACCCCTTTTCGAAGTAGGCTTTTTACGATAAGATAAAAAGAGATATCATAGAGATTCAAAAGTGGTACTCACAAACCACTTTGAAAGGAATCTTCAAAACTAACAACTCTCAAGTTCATCGATTATTCGCGATTAGAAAATTTTCCATGTAGCTAGAGGCCTATAGCGATGAAGGGTGTCTAGTTCACCCTTGAAGTTACGCAGAAAATATGCCAATGTTGTTTGAATGAGGGGTGAAGGCAGATAAAGGACGCAGGCGGCAGCGCATGATTGCCAGCGAACAGTATGAAAAAACGTTAACTAGCGATCGCACGCCCCCGTTGAACGGTTCCTTGCGTGGATCGTAGGACACGCGGTGGGTTTGCCTGGACGTGCAGGATGTCAAGCGACCGGGCTGATTATATGCCAAAGGGCCATATATTTGCATTAGACCGCTAGTCACCATAACTCATTACGTCGACAATTCTCTCTTTCGTCAACCGGCAACACGTTGGTCGCATAAATCACAATTTGCCCTAGTGGCTCGCAGGTGGACACGGCTAGCGGGACTCGAATCCAGAAAATGCGGCGTGTAAAACCAAAACGATAGATGGTACCGCATTCAAATTAACTCTGACGTTTTATCTCCGTCCCATGGTAATTATCTAACAGCGATAACGATTATTCAACTTTGCGCGAACCGTCCTTTGACAACGTGTTCGTTTAGGCAAACCGCCGAGGCGAAATTAGAATAATTTACGGCAAACATTCTCGTTTCGTCCTTTTAATGCACGGAGATTTTTGCTGAAAAATTTTGCAGAGATATAAAGATAGTTCCAAAAATAGTAAAGGATCAAAGTTTTAGGAACTAAAACGAAATCTCAGCGACAGAAGGGAGTTTCGACGTGGCGCGTTGACACGGCACCGACCGTGTTTGTGGAACAATGTCCCCGCGGTATTACTAGAAATAAAAAAACGAGATAGACCTGTGTCACCAGACGAATGTAACGTCTCTCATATTTCCATTAAGTAAGGCAAGACAGCCGGGTAACGGATACCAACGCGAACGAGCTCCAGCTTTTACCATGATTAGTGCAGGATGCAATGGGATGCCTCGTGTAGGGTTAACGGAGATGCGTGTAAACCTTCGTTCTTGTATATTGCACGCATATAGTATAAATGCGTTTGCGATATTACGCTCTCTTTCGCATGGCCAGGGATTTCGAACTCTAGGTTCGTTCATATTGGTTACCCGCCTCGGGGGAGAGAGCTTTGCCGTTCCGTTCTCAAACATCTTTCTGTATCGTCCCGCGGAAATGTATCGATACGAAATATCGAGGCTAAGGAGAGTTTAGAGCAGACTTATATCGAAATGTCAAGTCGCTAAATATTCGTGCTTTCAACCGCGTATTCGCTTGACGACTCTTTTCACGTCGAATCTCCATTTACTAGTTCGGATCCGTTTTTTTAATAACGTTTCTGTTTGTTGAATAGAAAGGTGGTTTTCGCAGCGCTGTTTCGCACGCGTATAACCCTTATCGCCACTGTCGCGTTAGTATTATTACACTTTTACGAGAGAGAAACGAAGGGAACGGGAGAAGCGAAAAAAAAGAAAGAAAGAAAGAAAGGAAACGTAACTTCTGAATTTCCGTGAAGGATCGTCGAGACGAGGTTTCGATATGAAACATTCTATACGTGTGCGTTTTCCGTCGCGACACAGCCTGCTCGCATTATACGGTCTGTCGCGACGAGAAATAGCAGAGACACGAAGGTGAGACGGGTCTTCAACATTTACTTCTGTTCCGTAGAATCATTACTACCGTCCCGAGCTAAGCGAAGCGTGCGGACGCCTGTTGACGGCAGCCGTTGATGCGTTAAAGGGGCGAGAAGATAAGTTTTTTTTCGCGAATTATGAAGGCGCTCATTCATTACGTGTCCCGTAATTGACGGGTTGCACGGACGAGGATAGAGAGAAGTCTACCATCAACAACGTTCTCTTACCGGCCGGATGTTACCTATCGCTAATAAGAATCATTCACCTAACAAGGATTTTTGTCTGAGAGATTTTACTCTTATTAAATTACTGGTCTATATGCCTAAGTCTAACACCTGATGCTCTGTTTAATCATACAATAGGATACTGTAGGGAATACAAGGCGTGAGAAATATAATACGCTGCGAGTACAACACGTGATTTTACGAGTGACAATTGTGGTGCGTGACGAACGCAGGCGGATATAATAGGGAATACAACCCTTGGTGATTACAACGAATACAGCAACGCAGAAATACAACATAGTGTTCACATATGTAACACAACGCGTGATATAACGTGTGACTGTACAATATGTATAACGAAACGCGACACATAATGCAATGACACATATTAGGGGTACCGAAAAGTAATCAAAATTTCTTCGCTGATTTCAAAGTTTTTCTATGAAAAATCGACGGACTTTTTTAAGAAGGGAACAATTGTCTTTACGCTGGCAAAAAGCGTTAGAAAGTGATGGAAATTATTTTCTTGACTTAAAATTTCTATAATAAATAAATATTTTTCGCCAGCAAACAAAATTTTGATTACTTTTCGGTACCCCTAATATAATGCAACATGTAAAAAATGTGGCAGGTGACGATTTAACGCATATAGCTTGGCAATTCAACACCGAGAGCAAATTGAATCGTGTATCTTGTTTCTTCATCGAGTCGATCCATCTCGGAGTGGTAAATAAATTTTGGAGGAGTTCGTTTATCGAATTCCTGGACGCCCCCGTTCAATTTCAACCCTTTGCAACAACAGCGAATAAGCCGGAGGGTTCGTCTTACCGTTGGTCCGAGCAGCGATGCGTGTCCATGGCCTTTCCGTGTGAACACACACGAAGACGGTGATCGTTTCGCTGTGTACACACATGGTATCCAGCCGAATTTATTTAACCCAATTAAGGAACCCCGTTGAGAATCTTCGAGCGACTGCTCAGCCAATTGAAAGTTACACGTGTTTTTGTCAGCTCTCGTTTAACACGAAAAGCTGGTGTAGGGTGAACGAGGTGAAACAAGATACGAGACGGCCAACGAAAGATTAAAAGAGGAGAAGGAAAACGGAGAGGGTGTTCTGTAAACGAGTAAGTGTTTGCTTGAGAAAGAAGCCCCCTCTGTCGACGTTTGAAACCACCGTATGCACAAGGCTGCTTGTACGAGGAATCGAGGAAACGGATATACTGTTTCAAGAACGTCGCGCGAAGATCGATCGACTTTTACCCCGGCTTTTAATTAGTGGGCCCTTTAGGTAAAGGGATAACATTGTAACATGGCGATTGTAATCAGTGCACGAAACGAAGCCCGCCAAGGCTGAATACGATGAGAACGGATAAGGTTGAACGTTGGAAATATCGATGAAGTTTCGTGCATGTGACAATTTAGCAGATAATTTTTGACGCAACTTCGTGCACGGGTCTGGCGACCCTGTCGGTTCGAACATGAAAATTTCTATTTTATTATGCTCTCGTATTGGTTTATCGTTTCCGTTCCCTTAATTGATTTTACTGCAATAATAAACAGTACTTTATTTCAGATACATCCTTTACTACAATTTTCCACGGTCGTTTGTAAATACGAAGCTTATAGAACGCTCGATTTCAATTTATCTCCGTTCAATAATTGCGCAGATGCGCACGGGATTAATGTAGGTAAATTGCAAATAAAACATAAATAAACATTATTTATTCTGTACAATGTACACACGACGAAATATTATTTGACGTAGAATTTACACAGAATACGTGTCCTTAGTAATTATGACATTAACGTATCCAGCGAACGCAAGTGGGTTTAAACAGAGTCAGCGCCGGTGGAAGCAAAAAATATCGGTGCACGTAATTGCACGCGTGTCAGCTATTCGTATCGCGAGAAATTTCAAATTTCGATGCAAATAAGAAAATATTTATACGGGGAAAAAGCAAGTTTTGCGGATCTATGCACGACCCTCCTTCGTATTTAAGGGTAGCAAAATATATTTGACCAGCTATTCAACCTCTGTGTATTCAATGGCATATTCAACTTTTTATCGCTGATCACAGACAGCGATTATACCAAGGGAGAAATTCAATTACATACTACCTGTGCATCGCATTTGGCGCGATACGAATTCCATCCTCTCGTAGCTGCATCTATTTCGCATCAGGTGAAAGCCAATTGTGCAGGCAGAGCCAATCGCGATCCCCTACTCCGCGGCTCGATAGTACCGGGCTAAATTATTATAATGTCGAGCGAACAAAGCATAGCTGTCCGGAAATTCTATGCTAATGAATTACGAAATCGAATCCAACTCCGGCAACATTTGCCACGCCAATACACTTCTCCACCCCCGAACTCTCTATTTCAATTACACCGAAACGATCTCTCCATCCGTTGGTTAACTATATTTATAAAAAGGATTAGATGTTACTTTCATTAACCAATTACTAAACACTCTAATTAAACAGGTTTACTCAATACTCTAATCACTCTCTAAAATATACAAACTAGATTGCTGAATTTTCAAATCTTTAAATTCTCTTTAGTTCACAATATTCACACATTGAACATTAACCCCTTCCCTCTGGGGTACTTGTCAGGTACTTTGACAAGTCTCACTCACAGATGAAATGTAACAAACCTTACTCAAACTTTGAACATTCAACTTGAAATTTAGGTCCAACTATAAATTGCATCGTCAAGGACCCCTCAGTATAAAATACTCATAACATTTTTATTTTCTCTGTTCATTTTAATGTTATGAATATTTAGTTTTGACTGACACATCTGTTAAATAAATGGCACGAGAAGGGGTTAAAATTCAACGTTAACTCTTTGCGCTCCTATGTCGAGCGTGGCTCGTCACATTTCTCTTGGATCTTATAAATAATTCAAATAAATAGATTGGTTAAATATATATATTTTAATTTATTTACTGTTTATAATAAATGAAAAATCTGTCACATGCTTCGCACTGTTGCAATACATTTTACCGAGAACCCCTTGATATATTTTTTGTAAATTAAGTCGGTAGGTAAAAGAAATTGAGGAGTGCAAAAATTTGGTCGAAGAAAACTTGTCATCAAAGCAGTTTTTGAATCGAATTTAAATTTGATCCCGTTAATGCAACGGGGCCCGTATTGAAATCTCGTCGGTATCGGCAACAGGCCGTTCCAATGAAAAAAATGACGTAACGACGAAAGGGTATGAGAAGTATTCGGAGCGACCGTCTGGTTGGAGTTTCCTCGTCGGAACCAAGGACTCCCCGTTTTAATGGAATAAAGAGCGCTTTCCTCCCGCGGGATCTCGCTTGTAAACGATATTATTACGAGGTCGTGTTAAAATATTGCGACGTTCTCGTGCTTGCAAGAGGATGTTTCATTTAGTTCGACGATACGGAAAAAGAAAAAGGGGATGTTTGGGTCTTTCGTCGAACGCAATCTCTCTCGTCAGCGATGGTTGAACCGTGGCGTCTGCGTGCATAAAAAGGGTGGAATGTTGCAACATCGCTGCACGATCGTTTTAACACTATGATGACCGTCATGAATTTACTCTGATTTCGGCGTTTTATTTCCTTCTGATTACGAAATTACAAAGAGCGGGTTTCGCCTGTGTAATTCTGAATTTTCGACTGTTTTTCCATCGCCGCGTAGCAACGGTTCGTTCCGTATTCGCGAGAAGAGTAATCGATTTCAAGCCTCAGTGTCAATCCGTGATTTCCACCGTCCGCTCGAACCTTGCCCTTTCAAGCGATGTCCGCGGGGAACAGGAAACTTACCAAAAAAGTCAAACTAGCGGAGAAGGACAAGCGCATGGCACAGTTGGAGCAAGAGATCGCTCGACTGGAACAGGAAAACGGGAAATTAAAGCGCGACAGTGCCGAATACAAGAATCGACTGGCTTCGTTCGACGGAGCGACGCGTTTCGTTCCCGAGATACCCAAATTCAGTCCCAAATTGCAGACTCCCGCGATCAATCGATTCACGCCTAAACCACGGGAAGATATCGACGGTGCGTCCAGTTCGAAGAAGGTTACGGGCAACGGGATTTTCAAGAGAAAGCTGAAGACGAAAACGATGAAGAACTCGAAGAAGAACGCGAGTAAGTGACAACGGAAGCGTCCTGTTCCTCGCGGATTCGCTCCGCACAAAACTTCCAAAGGACCCTCCATATTCCCGTTCTCGTATCGAACGCCATTTTCGACCGCGGCTGTGTTCAGGCGACGAATGTTAGCCCATCAAACGTCGTAACCATGCGCCACATTTAAGAAAGAAAAATCAAAATTCTGGATACCGAAAGAGCAGGCAATGACAACGAATGGAGAAGTGGTACCATGCTCGGTTAAGCAGGTGATCAAGAAATGCATTCGTGACGTACCGTGTCCTCGACCACCTAAAAGAAAGCAAGATGGTCCGCTGGTCGAGTGCAAGAAAGCCATGAAGATCGTGCCGTGTGAAACAGAGCGGAAGAGGATCTCGAAATGCGTTAAGAAGTTGACCGATATTTGTCCGGGCAACGATCGATCGCCGTCACCCAAAGGATGTGCGAAGTGCGAGGAAAATCGGATCAAGAAATTGGAGTGCGAGGTATACTTCTCAGGTATTTTAGTGCAACTGGTGTACTTGACATGTGTCGTTCGTAGGTGTTCCATCTGCGACGGGAGATAGAACACATGAAGCATGATCGGAAGGAGGTCGAAAAAGCGCTACAAAAGGCCATCCTTCGTGGCGCGTGTGCTCTCGGAGGATACAGACCGCAGGTGCCAGGGTCAGTTGAGAAGCTTCTGAACCGCTGTGACAGCGACGTCTCATCCTCCTCGTCGTACTCTCTCACGTTATGCACGAAACCCCCGCCAGAGATACGTCCGTGCGGTAAACCGTCGAAGAAGAAACAGCTTTGTTGCGAATCGTGTTGCTTCGATTAGATCCAGTGATGGGGAGCGTGCGAGTGACGCGTCGCCCGCAATAATGGGGAGTTAATTTGTAAATTTATGATTGTGAGCTCGTCGGGAAGTTTTCGACCATTTGCCCATCGCTGGATTAAAACGTCGAATTTGCAGTCTCGCGTAGAGGACGGCTCTTGTTGCGACAAAAACTAAAACCGAACAGTAAACATTCAATATTGATTGTAATTAATTACTCGGGGCGGGTTTATGAATATAAATAACCGACGAACGAAACGTCACGATGTCGTTGTCGCGGGCCAGACGGTTTTATCGCCGTTGGTAATAATTTCCTACAGTGTTACGCGTTAATTAATAAACGGGCAAGAGCGACGAGTGGACCTGGCGTCGATTTAATTACACGTAACCGTACGTACACGTGCTAACATACGCACTAACGTGTTCTACTCGCGTAGACTTGTCGCACCACGCACCTCGCCATCAAAATGGCATCGTTAACATCGATAAATATTCTCTGCGACGAGGTTCAACCACTCGAGTCAAAGGAAATGCCTGGCTGCGGAAATCTGCGTACCTCGTTGCACTAAGCAGCGAATATAATTAACGAAATAATAAGGAAACTTTTTTTATTTAAACGGAGGACGTTGGGTCATTATGTTCACGGTATACGGAGGTATTAGAAAATGGTCATTTTTGTTATTCTCAGAAGGGTGTTTGGAAATGAAAAATTTTAGTCTTCGGTATGAGGGTTTGAAAGATTGAAAGTTTGCAGGTTCACGAATTCGATTTGGTAAAATCCGAAATGAGGTTATGTGTCTACCGCTTATCCAGAGGAAGCGAACGTATCTAGCTTCTATCCCGTAGAAATAAGGAGGATAATAACAAGCGAGTAAAAAGCAGCGACTTGGCTCTCAATTCGTAGCAATTAAAAAAGTAACAGAACGTAAGACGTAACAACCCTTTTAGCCGGTAGAAGGCGTCTTGTCCGGCCGCGCGGTTGTACAGAGAAGACGTTCAGGCTGTGCTTTATCTCAAAGACGACATCGCTCACTAGTCACGGGAAATGGCTCTCGCAATCTTTTCCCTGAATGCCGGTTGCGAGTCCGCTCGACATTCACAGGATATTAAATGAAAACATTGGACCGTCTTCCAGTCGACGGAACTACCTAATATTTGCCAAGAACGATATCGCAAAGGAACCATCAGCAGACACTCGCCTCTTTCTTTCTTGCCCGCTTTTCTCGGCCGGTCAGAGGAGTACCTGTATCCACGAGGGGCCTAACTTATACTTTCGCGTTTAAAACGTGAAAAACCCTACCGAGACGAGAGACAGAAGGAGAAGAGGCAGAGGAAGAAAACGAAGAAGAAGTCGGGAAAGGAGGCAGACGAAATCGTGTAAGAGCGAGATACGCCTTAAAATAATCTTGCCATTTCGCTGGTACACGGTGCATAATGCCACGGACAGAGCCGGTGGTACTCGGCTCGCCGAATAAACCGAGAGATGAGCAGATTTTATCGCTATCAATTTACAATACGACCCTCCACGACCGAGCCGCGACAGGTTTTACTACCTCGTTCTGGTCAACTAACGCAAAACGGATCTTATCGACCGCACCCCGATTGTTTGCTCAAATAGAGAGCCAATTTTATGGTTTATGCCGCTCCCGCGACTGTTATTTCGTTCGACCCATCCAAACGAGTGTTTTCATTTCCCGCGAATTAACCAAAAGGTCTTTCCTGGCCCTGTTTTTTTTTTATTCAGCTTTCGCACGAATCGACGATTGAAAATTTCACGCGTAACAGATTAGTCCGATTTGTCCCACCAGCTAGACCCTACCGTGGAACAATAGCAACGTTCAAACGTATTTTCCACGAAATTTTATAACGGTGTGCGTCCATTCATCCGCGCTTTTTCGGGGGTGTTGAACGCGATCAGAGTCGAACCATGATACGTCGGTCTATCGTTGCATTTACGGATTGAATATCAAAACTCATCATCGATAATCATCGCCGACAAATATAATGGCGCTGCATCGCTGCAGATAAACAACGACCAATTTACTCCGATTCGCCGCCACCAGATATAACGTTTCACCGTTATGTTTTATGTCGCGTCATTAATTTCCAATAATTGTACGAGACGTCCAATCACACGGTTCCACCTACTTTTCTCGCTCCGATTAGAAAAATACAAACGTGTGAAATTTTTTAACGAGTAATTTTAAATGCTTTCTGCGTGGAAGGTTATTGTATCGGTCAAATAACATGTTAATACGCAGGTGCGCCGGTACAACGATAAATTAACAACGATCGACAGGATGATATCGCTAATTGAAGTTTATCGCGACGACCTTATCTATGAGAGCAGCTCGTTTGAAAGCGCGTTTGAATGGCAGCAACAGAAATTGGACGGTACCGCGTTGGAAAGCGCACTAATTCAGATCAAATGCCATGAATTCCAGCCTGCTGTATCAAAGCCAGTCGCGTTAAGGCTTGGCCACGTGTTAACGTGGTATCGCGATAAACGCGCGATAATGACGATTAAAGACGAGAAAACACACAGAGACTGTCTGTGCGAGTAAAACGACCGCGATGGAAATCGGTTTCTCATTAACGATAAAATATTTCGCGACGGCTTTTCAATCTCGTCGCGAAAGATAAAAAAAAAGAAGCGATTGAAACACGGTCTCGTTGAGATACGTATTTCAGGGTATAATAATGTCCAAAGGAAATCACGTGCCGGGATGAATCGAGTTTGTAATAATTCCTGTTTTTCCCTTTCACGATAAAGTTTCACGATCGTCGAGCCGTTCACTTCAAAGCGGAACTCCGTGGAAGAGGATGTTCGAGGGTAAAAAAGAATCTGATCGTCGATGCTGCGACGGAGGAAGAGCGAGGTAAATATCCGTTAATAGTTCATTATTAAAATAAGAGAGGCAGACGAGTGGGTAGCCCGATTGCGGTTAAAAGTATATCCAGTCGAATGGATAATCGAACGTAAACGGATGAAGTACCGAGCGTAATAAGTTCATTGCCTTTCTTTTCCTTTTGTCGCTACTTTGTGTATCTCGGTCAAAAGTTCCGGTTTTATCGACTTCGCAAGAAATTAGTCCCGACAAAACGACGCGAACGTGTGACCACATAACGGGGCACCATTACCGTGCGAAAATGCGTGTGATTCACCCCGTATATAGAAGTGTGAGGTATTAAAAAATGGCCGATTAAAATAGACCGTCGCGACGAGAAAATTTATGCAGATGAAATCACGGCCGTTCAGAATGCGATCTATGCGAAACGAGACAGTTAAGGAGAAATGACAAATTCGTGTTTACGAGGGTATAATGTCTCAGACACGCCTGTTGGATGAACGCCAGCAGCTACAGCTGTATTCGGACATGGTGATTCGATCGTGGTAACATTTAGCTATCCGTTAGACACCGTGAGCGAGTTAATTAAGCATCCGTTCGTTTTTCTCGGGCACGCCAAAAAGTTTGCTTGTCCCGCGAATTTCACGCGATTCCCCAAAGCTGGCACGGACGGTTGAATCGTGACGGTTAAAGAAGGAATTAGAACGTTGCCAATAAAACGAACGGATTTAAAATGGCGCGAGTATCGAGCGATTTCATTTTCTCGGGTGATAGAGATCGAAACGGTCGATCCGCAAAAATAGCGGCGTGACGGCAGTCTGGAGGAATGCGAAGCGGTAGCGAAACAGCTGAATTACAGGTAAAATACGCGCCGGTTAAAGGGGACTTTTGTCGTTCGTACGTTGAGCACTTTTAAATTTAAACGATAATCGTTTCTTTCGTATGCACGGATATTCCACCTGTCGCGGACTTTATTGTCATCCAGCTCGTATTTTCCTCGCGCGAGCAATACGAATTGTCGCGTTCGCGCACGACCAGCGGTAGATTATCCTCGACGGTGCAGCAATTCTTGCGGCCTGACACGGTGTAATATTTCAACGCCGTCTTGACAATATTTTTCACCGTTCCGAGCACCGTGGTGGGTATATCACGAGAGTAGGAAATATCAACGGATGACTGTAACCTTATGTGCCGTTCTGACATGATTGCTGGAAGATCGCGATAGCGTCACGCCGTGACACGTTGAACTTCAGCGTTAACCTATGTTAACTTCGTTCCTGGAAAAATCATGATCGTGACCGTTATCATACGAGGCGTTGCTCGACGTGTCTAATGTTGTTGGATACTCGTAACCACGACTCCATTTATCAACGCTCAATCCGTGAAAGCGATAAAGGTATCCACTTACGATGACGAACGACGCTGCGAGAAGACTGTCATTCCGGATAGGATTCAATTATGCTGCTTCTAATTCGATCAAACTTTTATTCCCTTTGTTCACAAATTTTTTTCCATACATTCAGACAGAATTATTAAATCGAATAAGTACACGAAATCATCACTCTGTCAGTCGTTAAATTTGGACATGAAAAATGTAGCACAGGGGTAGGAATTTTAAAGAGGCCAAGCACGTAAAAGAAGTACGCATGAGGCGTAAGGAACAGTACCTGGCAAGATGTAGTCGTCGCGTGCGTTCCTGATTGTGCGACACGCAGGGGATCCTTCTTTCAGGTTTCTCGAAAAGAAAAAAAAAAGGAACGACGACCCTTGCAAGAACGGAAAAGCCATCAGCGCTGATAAATAAAATGTTAGCGCTGCACCCGTCGCACCGACTGTCTGCTCTGGCGCGTATTCTTATTAAACGCGCTTGTATACGTATATACATGTACACTTGAACCCCCTGCTTTTCGCCTGGGGTGCGTCAGGGGGTGTGTGGACGATGTGGCTCGGTGAAGCACACGTATACCCACACGTGTACACTGATCCAGCCACCCTGAATCTCTCTCCTGCCGTTACCACCATCTCTGCTACCGGTGAAACGCGTACACTCCAACCAAACAAAGGCGACCTGTGCCACCCCTTACCCCTTTCCACCCTCGTCCGCCAGCTTTGAACCTCTCTTACGCAATACTCCGACTTATGTCTACCTATACT